GTCTGGCAGTACCTCTCCAATATTGCAAGACACGCCACCTTATAATTACAATACTGTGATAGTTTTTGTTCCTGACGAATGGATTGCAAAGTTCTCTTTAGGCTGAAGGTATCTGAAGACCAGGCATGAGCAGCTGTGGTCCTCCTGGTCTTTTGGCCTTCAAATCCCACCAGTCTTACCCAGCAATGGATTATGGAAGCAGTTGTCCAAAACCAGTTAGCAGGTCATAGTTGCCAATCCCTATTCCAGTCAGAAGACTCCTAGCATTTGTGGGGTTAGTTAGTTTGTTTTTGTTCTTGAATTACAACTGGACTTGCAATGAATTTCCCACACACTGCTAAACAAGAGTGTTTCATTTTAATCAACTGGACAGGATAATCTGTGGACAGGAAAAACACAATTCCCCTTCCAAGTGATTTCCGTGTGTGTGTGTGTGTGTGGGGGGGGAGAGAGAGAGAGAGAGAGAGAGAGAGAGAGAGAGAATCTTATTGCCTTTAAACATAAAATGAGAAATCTCTTTTTATGAAGCCCCTTGCCTCCCACTCTCAAATTGCCTTCCTGTGCTCATCTGTACTGAACTAATGTCTTCTCCCTGCCTGGTTTGAATACCCACTAATCCTGCCAAATGTAAGCTTGGCAGGGAGAAAACTGCAGTTTAAATAACTATGTATATTTTTTTTCTTGTGAAAAAGAAGCATAGAGTAACTCTACTACAAGGAACACACACACACTTTTAAAGAACAGCAAGAAGGTGCTGAGAACTGTGCATCTTTCTCTCCCTAACCTTCAGCAGTACAATGTCTTGAGATTTTGTAAATGGTACATTTTAGCATCACTTTATGAAGGAAAAAATCTGCATTTTTGCTGGACAAGACAAAAAGCAAAGCCATCTTTCCCAACTCCAAGGCAGAAGTGCAACCTGAGTGGTAGAGTATTTAGAGCAGAACAATGATTGGCAAGGAGAAAACTGAACAGCCTTCTCCCCTGCTTAGTCTAAGGCCAATCAAAGCAACTTTGTAGAGTATTATCAGAAAATCTGAAAGGAAAGAGGTAAAAGTCACAGGCAACAGATTTTTTTGAAGCTCCACTCTTGGAGATCATTTTCACCAGAGGTACCTGGAAACAAATGTGCTTCTGGGTAATGTGACAGCCCCCAAAGTGCTGAAGTTCCTAAAAATTTAAGAAAAATGCAAGCAACTCCAGATTACTAACTGCAAAAGCAGGCAGGAGGAAAGAAACCCACACCCTTAATATCTGCATAGCAATAAAAAATTAATTTTAAAACCAATGAAATGAAATTTGGAAACTCTTTCAAAGCATGGTGAAACAAGCAGATAGGAATGGGTGCTTTTTAATCTGGAATACCTGCCAGGCATGCAGGAGTAATAGATTCATCACCATTACTACAACATTATGGGCTGTGTGGGAGTACAAATATCAAGTAACATATGGATATATCAAGGTGTGTAGTGTGATTCTATGCACATCTCTTCAGAAATATAATGTACAGAGTTCAGTGGTATTTATTGTCATGTAAGTATGCACAGTTCAGCAATCCTTGTGTCCTTAACATTTTTCCATCTGCAAAAGCGATCATTTTTATTACATCACCTTCAAAAAATGTTAATAACCCCTGTTATTCATTTGGAAATCTTTCAAACTGTCATATTCTCTCCCTCTGATCTTCACATGGACAGTTATCTTTAGATGCATAGTTATCTTTGTAATGCACTCTATAGTTCTATACAACTCAAATATAATACTATAGCCACTTACCAATTTTGCATTTCTTGTTTCATTCAGGAAAAAAATCCACAAAGAAACCACACTCTGCTACTACCTTTGTTCCACAAAAGAGGTGTACATCTCTCTCCAACAAACATATGCCCAAATATAGCTATAGCCTGCTACAGCATAGGCTGTGACTTTCGCAGATACTATGACAAGAATTGAAATGGGGTTCCTCATTCATAGTTCCTTCTTAAAGGAAGCTGAAGGAAACAACTGGAGAACAGAACTGAGATTATACTCTTCTGTTTACCAAAACAAAAACAAAAAACCACCCTAAGTTACACACAGCTGTGATCCAGAAAGTGCTGTCTTCATCATGCTGTTGGGTTTTTTGTTTGTTTGTTTGTTTTTGTCATACCAGGAACTGGGATCTAGGGATGATTTTAGGCAAGGTTTTCATCTTCCAAAGGCTTTGCCTCTTTCATGGCATTTTATACGGGATCCAGAAAATGTCTCCTTCTGCTTAAAACACTTTGGAGTTTTCTCACTGCCATTCAGGAGAAAAAGGCAGAACAGTTGCACTGTGTCATGAAAGTCTGGTTGTGTCCCTTGTAGACATCATACTTTGTTGTTGTTTAGTCATTAAGTCATATCTGACTCTTTGTGACCCCATGGACCAGAACACGCCAGGGCCTCCTGTCTTCCACTGCCTTCCAGAGCTTGGTCAAATTCATGTTGGTCGCGTCGATGACACTGTCCAGCCATCTCGTCCTCTGTCGTCCCCTTTTCCTCTTGTCCTCACACTTTCCCAACATCAGGGTCTTTTCCAGGGAGTCTTCTCTTCTCATGGGATGGCCAAAGTATTGGAGCCTCAGCTTCAGGATCTGTCCTTCCAGTGAGCACTCAGGGTTGATTTCCTTCAGAATGGATAGGATTGTTCTCTTTGTAGTCCAGGGGACTCTCAAGAGTCTCCTCCAGCACCACAATTCAAAAGCATCAGCTTTATGGTCCAGTTCTTACTTCCATACATCACTACTGGAAAAAACATAGCTTGGACTATGCAGACCTTTGTCGGCAAGGTGATGTCTCTGCTTTTTAAGATGCTGTCTAGGTTTGTCATCACTTTCCTCCCAAGAAGCAGGTGTCTTTTAATTTTGTGGCTGCTGTCACCATCTGCAGTGATCAGGGAGCCCAAGAAAGTAAAATCTGTCACTACCTCCATGTCTTTCCCTTCGATTTGCCAGGAGGTGATGGGACCAAAGGCCATGATCTTAGTTTTTTTGATGTTGCGCTTCAGACCATTTTTTTTTTTGCATTCTCCTTTTTCACCCTCATTAAGAGGTTCCTTAATTCCTCCTCACTTTCTGCCATCAGAGTGATATCATCTGCATATCTGAGATTGTTGATATTTCTCTTGGCAATCTTAATCTTAACTGTTTCTTCCTGTCCCACATATAGATTTCTCAGGAAACAGATAAGGGGGCCAGGCACTCCCATTTCTTTAAGAACTTGCCAGAGTTTGTTGTGGGTGACATAGTCAAAGGCTTTTGCGTAGTCAATGAAGCAGAAGTAGATGTTTTTCTGGAACTCTCTGGCTTTCTCCATCATCCAGTGTATGTTAGCAATTGGTCTCTAATTCCTCTGCCCCTTTGAAATCCAGCTTGTACTTCTGGGAGTTCTCGGTCCACATACTGCTGAAGCCTGACTTGAAGGATTGCCTCTTTTGCCCCAGCAGAACCCTTGCTTTTTTTCAACAATGATATAAAAGAGATGTGGCGTTGAAGGGACATGGCGGCGCTGTGGGTTAAACCACAGAAGCCTCTGTGCTGCAAGGTCAGAAGACCAGCAGTCCTAAGATCAAATCCACGTGATGGAGTGAGCTCCCGTCGCTTTGTCCCAGTTCCTCGCCAACCTAGCAGTTCAAAAGCATGCAAAAATGCAAGTAGATAAATGGGTACCACCATGGTGGAAGGTAAAAGGGCATTCCCTAGTCACGCTGGCCACGTGACAATGGAAACTGTCTTCGGACAAGCGCTGGCTCTACAGCTTGAAAACGGGATGAACACCGCCCCCTAGAGTCGGACACGACTGGACTAAAAATGTCAAGGGGAACCTTTACCTTTTTTATACTGTAAAAGAGATAAATTCAACTTGTCAAGCAAGCAGACACAGTATGGTGTTACAAGAAAAATTACTTAAGTACACAGGAAAACAGATGACTATTTAAGATCAGGAAACTCTATCTAGGAATATATATATATATTTATCTATCTATCTCTCCTGCTGTTTTCATTTCAGACCCTCAGTGAGCCTAAGGACAGACTGGACCGAATTTTGCGACATCTGGGCAACTCAATGAGATGACCTTACAGAGGGTGCAGCTTGACAAGATGACCTTTGAAATCTCTTCCGATTGAACGGATTGGATCGAGACGGAGGACTACTTCGAGCCGCCCCAGTGTAATCAGTTAGTCAGAGCAATCCAAGTCCTGTTCATCTCAACAGGTCTACTCTGACTAAGTTTATGACCGGACATCCCGCGCGCTCGAGTCGAGTTGTGGGGATCTTTCTCCGCTCTCGCTCTCTCTCTCTCTCTCCTGCCCCAAAAGAGAAGGAGGAAAGAGCTGCAGCTTGCAGGGCGCCCGGGTCGTGTGTCCTTTTGCAACCATCCATGGGAAACAGAAGAAGGGGCGGAGTAACCGAGCAGCAGCAACCCCGCGAGCGGGGGCGGTTGCCGTTCCCTTCCTCCAACCCTCCGGAGGGTCCCGACCGCCGCCCCCCCCCCAGTTCCCGTGGGCTTCGTCTTTCTTTCTTCCTTTCTTTTCCTCCTTCGGAGTCCTTGGTGTCTTGGCCTGCCTCGTCTCCCTTCGTGAGGTACCTGGACGCAGAAGGAGGGAAATGTCGCGCCCTCCCCCTTTCCAGCCGCCGCCGCCGCTCACCTGCTCCCTGTCCTGAAGAGAAGGAGCGGTTCTCAGCCCCGGCAGGCGTGGGAGCTGAATCACAGCCAGACACCGGGTGACTCATTCCCGAGCCATCTTCTCTGTCTGCGCCGGACTTTCCGGGGGGACTGACAGTATAAAAGGGAAAGCACAAGCCAGTTCTTACGGTTTTTTTTTTCACTTCTCTCTCTCTCACACACACACACACACACACGCACAGATAAACACCCCCGCCTGCCTACCTGCCCGCCCGCCTGCTTCTCAC